CATACCTTAAATCCAATTCTAAAACTAAGCAGCGTTCAACGCTATCAAAGTAAAAGAAGGTGACACCGAGATCCACCGGGGCCCTTGGCACCATGACACATGCCCTCGTCGCTAAGTGAACAGTGACTGTCACTCAATCGCGCTTTCAGCGCCCCATCATACAGCTGACTTCCTTCCATCGTGGAGCATCAAGCATAATTGCCCAACACCCCGGAGTCGATCAGGTTCGTTCCTGTCTTCTCAAAGCCTTTCACAACCGCTTTTATGACCAGAAAGCCCGGCTTGCGTAAACGTGTAGTGTTTAAGAGCCCGAACTGACCTCTTCCGCTTTGAGGCTCAACAAAACTCAATTCATCTCCTGTAGGGCGCCCGTCGGCTACTGGGTGTTGTTGTTTCCCCGCATCAAACCAGAAGACTGGTGAGAAGCGGGACGTCGGTTCGATGATTGTGGACACGCCTTGCGCAGGGGACGACCAGCTCCAAGGTGATGGGTGTCTCCACAGACAAGTACCGTCGGATGTCCGAAACCTGCCGACAACTCGGAGATCTGCCTCCTCTTTCTCAGCGTAGCTGAAATTCATCGGCTCAGGCCCGCTCGACAAGCTGCTAGAGTGTACAGTCCAACCAAGTCGTGCCGATTTATAGGTGAATTCGGGACTCGATGCCACATTCACTGCTTCTTCAAAAGAAGACGGATGCACACGATAAACTTCCATTCTAGCCGCGCCAGTGCGGAGGCCCTCCATAAAGACGGTAACTGCGACCGTCTCGGAAGAAAATCGCCTACCACCCCGGCAATGAGAGTACGCAGCTGTTGAACAAAGCCCATTAATTTCTTTTGCCTTGTCGGGCGGCAAGGATACGCGATCGCACACGATATGCCTGGTTAGGCGGCGAGAGCACTAACAAAAGCTGCAGTTTCAGCTCTGTCCAGAAGTAACACGCCGCATCAAACGAAGTGCCGCACGTTAGTGCCCTTTATCGCGCACGGCCACCGATCTTAGAGATAGCTTTTGCAACGTGCTGTTGCTCGTTCTGGAGCATGGCGGACGCCAAAACCATCTCCACCTCTTTCACCCAAATCAGGAAATTCTCTTCATCCTTGCCCTCGAAGGTGTTAACGCGATCTGCGTCGGGAGGAGTCACGGTGGTGTCATGGGCACAGTCAACGCCAACATATTTTGCTGTAGGTGCTCTAGCGCAGCATTTTCATAGCCCGAAAACGCCTCTAGGCACGCGCCAATCGCTTCAGGTCCTTGTGAGGCGAGGTTTTGCACACCCTCAGGGCCAAGCAAGCCTGTCCTGCATGCCCTCACTGGTATATCCTCACAGAGAATCAGTCCTAACGACTCAGGTGTAGATGGGCTACTAATGCTAGCAAGTGCTGCGGTGCTGCCGTAGCTCGCTTCTTCGCTCAGCGGAAGCTAAGCAAAGTGGATAAAACTTAACGCGTGAATATTGTTTTGTGGTTTATGATCTGGACACTTGCGCGAAGCGACTGCTCTCACTGATTTTGTCGAGTTAAATAGTGCAAAATGCGCCGCGTCTGACTTTGCCTTCGCTTTAAATATTTTGGTATAACCTTGTGTTTCCTTGTATCCGTTACGGAGGGATGCGGTCCAGATAGAAAAATGTTCCTGATACGATTCGACTAGCTTGTATCAGCTCTTCTACAGTTCAGGGTATAGTATCATGAGCCAAGTGCGCGATGCTATGGCTTAGACACAATATATGCAAGAAATCAACATGAAAACGCTAAAGGTTGACGAAACACACATAGGCTCGCTCGTGAAAGCGTGTAACAAGCTCTACCGGGTCAACCTCAAATTCATAACTACAGCCTGTTAAAATTTGGAGCTACTTCATTAGAAGTTGTGGTAACATTTACGCTTGCAGACAATTAAGATCGGCTTTCTGAACTGCTTTTAACGTACTGGTAATGTGGTGAACGTGGTAGTAAATTTGCTTTGAAAGGTGTGCACAATGGCGGTGTAATTGCCACATCGCTGATAAAACGGGCACTGCGCGCGCTGCTTGTAACTGGGTTACACGAACCCTAATAATAGGGGTGTGTGTCACACGAGATGTGCATGATGTGACCACACACCCGAACAGAAATACGGTCTGGAGCTAGGTAGCCAGTAGTTATGCATGTATTTAGATTTTACTGTATTTATTTAGTATATCAAGGAAAATCTATACTTTTAACATTAGGACAAGAAGATAAATGATAATCAGTTTGGAATTTAAACGAAGATTCAGTTAGCCTTGGGAAGGCAATAATCACTCTTGGAGTAAGTGGATTGCGATCGGCTACCTCATACTTAGTTCTTGTAAGGAACGAAAGGTCGGTGAGCTAAAGTACCCTTCCTCAAGTGTTTTGCCACGGCAGCCCCGCTGCACTTAGTAGCACTTGTAGTCAATTACACCTGCGTTGTTTAGACTCTGATCCTCTGTGATGATGGAGAAATATCCTATTTGCCCCAGGGCATGCCGGACGGGCTTAACAAGGTGATGTCCTCGCTTGGTCCTGAGCTCGTGCAACATCTTGTAGCACAAGGCCCCAAAGCAATCGGTGCGCGTCTAAAGGCGTTTTTGAGTTACGAAAACGCGCTGCTAGAGCACCTGCAGCAGAAGATGTCTGC